CTAAAACTGTTTGAGAATATAGCCAACTATATACTTCATTATATTTATTATTTAATTATTTATAATTTAACTTAACTCGAATTTGATTAAAAGTAACTCGTTATTTATTAAGTTTATATCAATTAAAATAAGTTAAGTTTATGAAAATTAAATTTTAAAAAGTTAAGTTAAAAGTTAAAATTAACTTAACTTTTAACTTTTTAACGCGTTTATGCCCAGGCTTGCTCAATTCGTCAAAAAAGGTTATACTGGGACTCAGTTCGTATGAAGCCATTATAACTTTATAACTTATAGGATTAAAACGTAAACAAACAAATTATTTGTTTATAGTCCTGACCACGGCTTGATACAAATAAAAATGCCTGGTGAATAGGAAGTGGCAGTCGTACTCTATATTGTTGGAACCAGCTATGACACAGCACTTCTGGAACATCTATCGTCTAAATTACCAATTCTTTATTATCAATATAATAAAGAATTGATTTTGTTAATACCTACCAATAATACTATTGATTTTAAAATTTTAATAATATATTATCACCTTATTATAATATATTATAAAATGAAAGATACTAAAGACTAGTGGTCCAGTTATTGGGGGGAGTTACCTATTCTCCTAAGTAAACATTTAGATTCTAAGCAATGAATGAATTATTAAAATTATTATAATTATATTAACTGGTTTTTAACCAACCCAATCTTGTGATATTGACTAAATTATATTATTAAATTAAAGTGTTAACAATAAAGTAAATAGCAATATCAAGTACATAAATACAAAATTTTAATACTAATCTCTTAAATTATTTAAATTACATTAGATTTTCAACATTGGTTTGAATAAAATCTATAATTAAGTTTTGGAATTGGTGATTATGGTTTATATATACATACTGGATAAAGTTTTATAAAGGTATTATTTGCCAATATCATATTAGAAAATAATTGTGACGTAATTGAAAGATCTATTTATTCTAATAAAATAAATAATATCAATCATATTATAGAGAAGGACTGAGTGGCATAGTAAAAGCCCACACGTAGTACCATTGTATGGCATTTTTTCAACTAAAGATTATTTTAAGTACCTACCTATAATTAATTATTAACTAAGAAAATTTGTTCTTAATTTCTGATATATTTGGTATTAATTCGAAAAATTATTACTTATTTTAAACAGTTTCAAAAAAAAATTAACTATCTGGATTTTATTAATTAAGAAAGATGTGAGCCATGTTAGTACTTTAGTTAAAAATGTTCTACACTAATACACTATTAAAAGCTTTTTCAATATCAGTAAAAACCTTATCTATTTCAGATCTAGCTGAACCTGAAGAAAACCCGATAATATTATGTCTGAATAAGGCTAAACTGATTATAGTAGAATGTTGTTAATGATAACTATATTGAATGTTACACAAAAAACTTTTTATTATAAGTGAAATATTTTTATTTATAATTTTTGAAAATATTTTCAAAATTGGACGGTATTAATTACAGAACAATGTTTACCTTTTTTGAAAACTGGAGAAATAAATAAAGTTTTCTGCATTGTAGGAAATGTACCAGAATTTAATGATTGATTTAAAAGAAATTATATATTAAATTATATATGTTCTTGTACCTCATATTATAATATGAGGTACAAGAACAAAATGACATTCAAATAAAAACATAGCCAACAGGTTATCAAGGCCTGTTTAAAGTTTAATTTACATTATCCAATTCATTAAAAATGTCTGCAAGTGTTATATCAAAATTGTTAATATAGAAAGTATGATTATCTGGCATATTGCCGCATATTCAATAGATGTTTATATATATTTGAGAAAAAATATGAACTATATTTTAACCATTGTCGGCATTAACATTTAACACTACTACACTAGTATAATTACGTAGCTTGGAAACAAGTTATGAGATTTTTATTATTAAAGAATTCTAACAAATCATTTAGATCCACCCACATCTATATAGGCTTATAAGTCTCAGTCTATATGAGGCATAAATATCTAATTTCTATTGTGGTAGTATTTTTTAATTCATGAAATCTAACTTGGATTTTATATAACTTACATTTTAATTTAAAATTAAAAATATTTAAAAAATTAACATTATATACATATATATATATACATATAATATTATGATGTGTCAAGTGTTAAGTGACAAAAATAAAGGTGAAACTTTAATTATTTAGGCATTGTACTTACAATATTTTTTGTATATTCCTACATATTATAGCCTACAGTGGCGCCCACAGGTTTTCCACGAATCAGTGCAGTTATAAACTTATAACTATAGGGCCCCCAAATTTATTTGTTTGCATATTTGGCACTGCCAACTCTTTACGCTTTATTCAACGATCTAAATATTCAGATGGACCAGATGAATAGTTATGTATTTATAGTGTCTGATCAAGAGACCAGAGTGGGGCCCCCGAATGTATGTAGGCCCTAGGACCTACGAGAAACCAGTGCAATTGCACCACTTGGTACCCTACGTGGGCGCTACTGATAGCCTATAGGTATTACTCCATTACCTTTATTTTATGATAAGCATCTCAACTTCAAAATCGCAAATACTACTTTGGTCATATGTTGGTACATAAAATTATAAAATATATGCTTGGATACAATAGCAACAGGGATTAATATTTAGAACTAGAAGTAATATTAACTACACACAAATAAATACTATACTTATAGCCCTATACATTCTATTGAATGTGGTCATCTGTACTAACTACTACACCATTATACCCTATTTAGTCTAATCAAATAGCTATAATTATTGATATAAGTTTTTTGAAAAAACTTTTGTTCATTGTTACATAGATTACCAATGTCAGATAAAGTTCTTTATTAGTCATTACAATATTGAGATGGTAACAGAAATTGTTTTTAATTTTGGTATTAAACAGTATTTTACATTTTTACAATATATAAAACTGTATGCATTGATCAATGTGTATCTTTGACAATAATTTTGCTTATATCAAAGCTTGTAAATTAACTGAAATGTATTTTGGCTGTTAAGCTTCAAATATTATGTTTAAATATTTTTAAATCAATGTTTAAAATGTAACTAATAAAATATAAACATTGCAAGTT